GATCAGAAAATTCATATTCACACAAAATGTCATTTATATTAAACATGACTTTGGTTTCTAACAGTTTTATTTCTGACATCCATTACAACATAGAGTCCATAATTTGCAACAAAGCATTTGTCATATTCTGTATTACAAATAATGATCGTATAATTCGTATATCATTGAGATTTAACAAATTCTGTATAATCATGAACAATCGATCCAACATGATCTATTTCAATTTAGATTACAACCTGTTATTCAGTTTATTACATTACAAATCAAACGATTCAGTAAATCGAGTTTTAATAAATATATTTCTAACATGTTGGAAAGCATTTGTTGACAGTTTTTACATTTGAATATAAATTCACAATTAAATGTCTGAAAGTTAAGAGCACTGAACCCATACATTCATTACAATAATATAACAATTAGTGTTTTTTGCTAATATTTATTTTATTGATTTCACTATTCATATGATGTGCACTACAATATTCAATCAATTAATGATATACATAGTAATCGTTTTAAGTACACGTTTCTCTTATTTGTACAATTGTTACCTATGTTTTAAAAGTTAGCAAAATTAATTCATTTAAAATATAGTGTTATTCTAGATAATACTTTATATATAAATACTGTATAAAAACAATTTATGTAAGTTTCGTTGTTTGTTCCTAGGTGTAAAGATTTGTATATTTATTTCATTTCAAAATTAGCATTTAAAGTACAAACTCTTGCTATAATTTTAAAAACATTCAAAAACAGCAAAAATAATGGGAGTTTTGTTATTATCTAAGAATTAGAAAAACTATTTTTTACAAAACGAATGCAAAACTCATTTATATGAAGGGATATTGCAATTGAAAAGTTCAAAGACCTTCACTTCAAATACTCGTCAATAGAGGCAACAGAAGGCATCGAAAAAGTGTCTGCAATTAAATACTCGGCCCATAACTGTAGATCACCCGTCCTTTACCTCCCTTTGCCTTTTTAGCAAATTTACATTTTGTTAGAAAAACACCCACTTTTCAAAGTAATTTAGTCTAAGATAATACTGAAAAGTCGTTCCCATAACTTATCTTTCGTGTATTTTTGTATATTTTCTAAATAACTTTTTATAATTGCTCTAAATTTTAACTTTAGGTTAGGGAGAGCATAATATTAGCTTATTATATTATTTATATTAAAAATTATATAAATATTTGTTTTAATTATAAGTGAAACATAAAAGCAGAGCAATGATTACTTACATCTATTTGTTGGTATTAATTGTTTTAGATTTTTATTTATTAAGGAACATAATGTATATTATTAAACTAAACCTTTGATTAAAGTTATCATTTTATATAATTTCCATTAATTAGGTTTATATGAAAACCCAAAAGCAACACATTATTCTTAATTCTTATTATACAATAACTGTTGATTGAATAAAATATTGTTCTTTAAGACTACTGTATGTAAGAATTGAGCGAAAATGAGTCCTATTTAAGTGTTTCTTAGAAAGAAATGTGAGTCGGGATTGGATTATTGGAAAGGAAACTGTTAGTCCTCTCCCTCTTTCCCTTTCTTTACATTACTGTAAAAATAGTTTCAATATATTGTATGAACTAATGCTGAAATTGCTATTTTAACTCAATTAAAGAATTACGACAAATATGAATACATGTGTAGATAAGAAATAACCATCAGATATATGGCGCGCAAGTAATCTCATTAATATTCATGATTATAATAAAAAGAAGTTATTTTATAAAATAATTTAAAGAATTACCAATTTTTAAAGTCAAACATTTAGAGTTATTATAAATTATTAGCGAAAAACGGAGTTTATTTTTAAATGCTTGAAATGCTTTCACAACCGGTCTCTCGAAAGTTAAATTTACGACTAACAGCGAAATAGCGATCTCTAGCACGAGAGAGAGAGAGAGAGAGAGAGAGAGAGAGNTTTCTTATCTACACATGTATTCATATTTGTCGTAATTCTTTAATTGAGTTAAAATAGCAATTTCAGCATTAGTTCATACAATATATTGAAACTATTTTTACAGTAATGTAAAGAAAGGGAAAGAGGGAGAGAGAGAGAGAGAGAGAGTATGTGTGTGTTTGAGTCGATTGTGTAATAGTTTTGAGAGTGAAGTTGCATAATATTTTTGGTTAAATTTATAAAAAGCTGCATAAGTCTGGGTGTATTTCATACTTTATATGTTCACTTGCTTTTAGCTCTAATCACTGAAACTTGATTATCGATTCTGTGTTTAAGTTCACGATTGGAATTATTTGTAAAAACAGTTTCCAATCTTAATGTCCAATAAGTTAATAAGTTTTTCTATAATCTATAAAAATATTAGTGATATATAAATAAAATGCTGTGTTTGAGAACCCATGGGCTCCTCTTTCACTAGACTCTGGTATTTATAAAAACAGTGATTATATAATTGTCTTTGTGTTCGTCTCTATGTCTGCATTTCATCCAAACATATATCTCGAAGAAATTGGATTCATATTTAGATAAAAATGATGTGAACGTATTTTGTTATAAATAATTCAATTCTTCATAATATTGTGCATTAATAGAGTAAATGTTAAACTAAAGTGTAGTACAGACTTATTGATCACTTTTCAAATAACAGTATAACTTCTCTTCAATTTAAGTGTAAAATGAGTGCAGTTTTCCATTAATATTGAAAATCACAATTTGTTGAATCATTGTTACAATAAGAATAGACTGTATATTATATACAACTAAACTGTGTCTCAGTATTCGTTCACTAAATATTCAAATCATTATTTTTTAGCCGAAATGTGTTTCTGGCAAATATTGTGAGAAAAACAAGTGATTAATATATTATATATCTGTTGAGACAATTGATTGAAGTATTAAAGAGAAAAATGTCTGAATCGCGAGAAAAGGATAACACGGAGACTGAGTTGAGTGCTTTGGATGAGAATGAGAAGAAAATTGATGATGATGATGTAATATGCCTAAAGCCCAAGATGACATTAATTAATGGCATTAATGTGATAGTGGGCTGTATGATTGGTTCGGGTATATTTATATCACCAAAGGGTGTCGTTAAAGGCACCGGAAGTGTAGGTCTATCGGTCATTGTATGGATTCTTAGCGGTGTTTTTTCGCTCATCGGTTCCCTATGTTATGCAGAATTGGGAACAAGTATTCCCAAAAGTGGTGCCGATTATGCATACATTATGGAGTGTTTCGGACCATTCGTTGCTTTCCTCCGCCTTTGGATTGAATGTATTGTATATTTATATGAATTGATAGAAAATCTGTATAAATCATAGAAATGTATGGCATATGATAGGTATGATTGTCCGTCCGTGCAATACAGCCATAATAGCGCTGGCGTTTGCTTTCTATACATTGCGTCCCTTTTATCCGGATTGCGATCCTCCGGGAGATGCGACCCGAATGCTGGCTGTTGTTTGTATTTGTAAGTTATTTCATTCATCCAACAATTCATTAACAGTTTTACCATTTTTAGTTTTACCACAAAAAGTCTTTGTGATAAAATAAAAAAGCATTTTATTTTCATTAATATTAATGAATTCAAAAAACGGTGACATATTTTTTAAGTTACTTAATTTTGTGCCTTTTAATGACTGATTTATGACTGATATATTTCTCTCATTAAATCTCAAGGATTTTTCAGAACTTTCTTATACCGTATTTTCAAACCTCTATAGCTTTGCTTTATATGAAACTTATTCTAATGATTATTAATACAATTATAGTTAATTCATTCAATCTTTGTCTCCAATTTGCAGACAAACTTTAAATAAAAATACCATTAAATAACTTTACATAGCATATATTCATATACTGACTAAATACATGTATTAACGTATTGTTTTGGTCTATAATTTCAAAATGTTTAAGAAAACTTGAAGAAAGGAAAGTTAAACAACTTTGTTTAAATTAACAATTAAAATACAATTCTGGTTTGCAATTTATGACTATTTGAGATAGATTTGGATGTATTGAAAATGACATGTATTTGTGAATTGTAATGACAGGTCTATTAACTTTCGTCAACTGTTGGGATGTGAAGTGGTCGACAAGAGTACAGGATTTCTTCACATATGGAAAACTGTTGGCTTTGGTCACGATTATCATAACCGGAATCGTTCAGCTCTCCAAAGGTATTGAATTTTTTTCTGCTGTTTTTTGTCATCTTTTTTATATACAACACATGTGTTAAACAAATTAAAATGATTAAATAGAGTGCAGTGTTATACAAGTTTTTGTCGTAATATACATTTGAACGCCAATTGATATTATAATCAATTTCCTGTTTTATTTAGCTTAATAATTATATAATAGGGTGACCATGTTTTTCTTCATGCTCATTTATTATTCCTGAAATTAAAATAACGACAGTTTTTAGAAGTACATTTTTATTTATGATGTAAATTCAAAGTGTTTTTTAAACATTTTAAACATTATCGTTTAAATAATGCATCATTTTATATAAGTTATATTTTATATATAAAATCGCTATCGTATAAAATACGTGATCACTTTAAAATTTGTAGTCTAAATATTAATAGTGAGCAAACACTTGGACTCGTACGACAGAGTCTGTATAGTTTGTATCGATAGAATAATCTATTATAATTTCCAACTTCTAATTCTGTATAAAATATTTAAAATACAGTATATTAGAGTTAATAAAATAAAATAATTATTAAAATTGTCAGTAATAATAAGAATGTTGTTTATAATATGAAATTTAGTGGTTAGTGTCATCAGAATAAATGAAGTAAATGTAAATTGATATTGTCAAAACCAAATTCTAGACATTATTTACATTTTACTTTGCAGTGTTTTTTGAACAATTAACAAATGTTTTTAAAACATTATGTCATGTGTTTATGGAATGTAAAGTTTTAAAATCACTGACATATTGTGAGATATTATTTACATGATAAATTTTATAATATTGATATTTGAGATAATGATAATTAGGATATAATTTAAACAAAACATTTTTATTAAACTAACATGATATATTCATTGACAATAATAAATGCTTTGTAAATTGATATAATAGATGATGATCAAATAAATATAAATTATTCCATAAGCATAAAATAATACAGAAGTCTATTAGCGATCATTTGAGATCAGTTATGACAAGTTCTGAGCAGAGCTTATACAGGGTGGTCGGAAAGTATGTCTTTTTTTTTAAACGTTAATAACTCGTAAATTAAAAGAGATATTTTAATCTAATTTTTTGCAAAAAATACACAAAAGTATAGGATGATTGAATCAGGTTTTGAAAATATTTGCCATCTATAGCGATCACGTGGCGGAGGCAAATTTCAAAATTGATTACCGCGCCGGCAATCATGTCATATTTTAGACGTGGGCATTAGGATGAATTAAAACATGTTGAGCACGCATCCCATACATACACTTGAATAGTTCGTTATTTGTTTTAATTTTAAACTAATAGTGTACAAATGAGGCGATTTTCAAAAAAGACATTTTTGACAAGTATTTTTTCAAAACCGTGCCATTTGTAAAATATTAATTAAAAATGAAAATACCATGTGCACAACTTTTAAGTAAATGTATGTGATGTGTGGTCACCGTGTTTTCATTCATCGTAATTGCGTCCTCTAAAATATGATAAAATATGTCCAATTTTGAAATTTGCCTCCGCCACGTGATCGCTATGGATGGCAAATATTTTAAAATCCTGATTCAATCATCCTATACTTTTGTGTATTTTTTGCAAAAAATTTAATTAAAATATCTCTTTTAGTTTACGAGTTATTAACGTTTTAAAAAAAGACAAACTTTCCGACCACCCTGTATTAACGGATGTAAAATACATTAGTATTACCTTTGGTTGGATGCAAAATGTTGCCTAAATTTCGTCATCTGTTACTTCTGTTTTTAAAATTATTGTCAATTAATTAGGGTTGGTTAAAATACAAAGTTAGTATTAGTCCTTATATGAATTTCTCTGTGCAAGAAACACATCTTTGAATGCTTTCATAACACTCATGCTTCACTGCAATACTATCAAAGGAGGCAATGCTTAACT